CCGTGGTCTTGGCTTTTTTTCCTTCCCTCTAATCCTACAACTAGCCCCAAGACTTCCCTGTCCCTGTTGATTTTGGCGCTTGTAGCTCCGGCTGCTTTACCCCTGTTCGGCTGGCCTAGCCGAGCAGCAGGGCTGCTGTGCAGGGCACAGGAGCGAGGTTGCTTCCATGGAAAACTTCGCCTCTGCTTCCTGGCCTTCCTTTCCTTGCCCGCCTGCTGGGGATAACCTCCGGGAGGAATGAAGTGAATATAAGGTAGTTGTTCTGTTGTTTAAAAAAAAAAAATCACATAAGTGCCTGGATAAATTTTAACATAGAAATTTGCTTCTGAACCCTTTATTTGTTGAAGTCAGCAGAGATTTTAATATGAAAGTGGAGCTCAGCTTACCGATTTTGTATATAGAGAGTCACTTTAGTTGGGTTTGTTTGAATTGTTACAGTGGTTTGTTAAAAAAACTCAACTAAAAATATCCGCATCCCAAAGTGACATTTAGGTTTGCTTTCACAACTAGGGTTGGAAGCAACTAGAGATGAAACCTAACATTAGAGCTACTCAGGGGAAAAAAAAAAAAAAAAAGTACTTGTATCCTCTCAGTCTGATTGTGTGTACACAGCTTCAATTAAACACAGCATACAGCTGCTTTGGGCTGTTTTCATCAGGTGCACACTGTTAATTGCAGAGTTGGGAAAAAGTTGTTCCAAGAAAATACAGCACATGCATTCATAGCTAAATACTAGCCTTGCCTTTTTGCCCTCCACAAAACTGGGCTCATGATGCAGTAGGTACCAAGGTGGCTTAAAAGCCCTGTGAGTCGTGCAGCGGTTGAACTCAACGTGGTGGTGCCCTGGAAACATGTTGGTTGACGCTGCAAAATCAGCTGCAGTCTTATCTGAGAATTGTAATGCTCAGCAACTGCAGAATATCAGAGCATTAACTTTTCATTCATATTGATCTCCAAACAGGGTTTCAAAGAGCTCTATTAGGAAGGAGGTTTTTGAGCCGAGATTACTTTTTCATGTCTTGTAAAGAATGCGCTTTTTGCGTGCAGCAAGCTAAAGCTTTCGAACCCAGCTTCCATCTGCGCTCCATGACAGTGCCCTTCTGTAATGCTGGGTCTAGAATACAGGATTTTGAAATGAAATTACTTTGTGTCATGCACAGTTCCTGTAGGGATCAAAGGCAGACCGGGTAATGTGACTATTGCTATTCATGAGTTTCCTAGGCATGTGAGTTGCAAGTTAATTATAAATGCTTGTTTAATCATTTAACAATAGGGTATCACAGTCTCATCTGGGCATTATGCTTATAGCTCTCGCTTTTTTTAATTAAAGCAAATTCCTACCTTTTTTATCCCTGAAGAAATTAATTTTGGTGGTAATACTCTAGGCTCTAGCGGGTCAGGATATGCAAATCCTCTTTTAAATGCTGGACAGTTGTGTGATAAATGTCTCTATTTTATTATCCTTCAACTGCCCCTCCCTGCCTTTTGAGTACATGGTTATGCAGTAGCCTGGTTGTCACTGGAGATGGTGTAAAGAGGCCTAATTCTTGTAGTGTGTTTTCTTTGGTGGTATTTTATTAAAATTTATGTGCATTATCACTAGTAGATAATGTATTAGGGAATAAAATAATGTATTTATAATTTTAATTTCTGAATGTTTCGTTTAATAGATTTTAAACCTGAAGAGACTAGTAGAGCACCTGCCTGACCTTCATATGACACACTTCTGTTTTATTTGGATGTTGAATATTGAGTCCTTTCAGTTAAGCTAAGCCAGTTCAGTCCTTTGGAAATTAAATTCTTGTGCACAGGAGGAACAGTGACAGTGCCAGCAGTGCCTGAGGCCACCACAGCAGCAGGGGGGTGGTGGAGGAGAAATGCAGTTAAGCTCTGGGCTGCCAAGAAGGGGGAAGCAGCGCGTGTGAGTTGAGAGCAGGCTCCTCCACAGCCCCAGCTCCTGCTTGCCTGCCGAGGGTGAGCCTAAGGCTGAGGAGTTCTGGAATTAAACATTGATTTAACTTCGGTTAACATCTTAAATGAAAGGTGTTCTTCACAGGAAAAGAAAGACAAAATCTTCTCATAGTTTTTCAGCACTGGTGAATCAGTGAATCTCTCCGAATAAGCCATCCCTTGTTAAGTTACCTCCTGCAAGGAAGTTGCACCTGAGTTTCCTTGAATTCAGTGTGTGGCTGCTGGGGCGTCCTGCATCTCCACTGACAAGGCTACAAAGTTCACAACTGTCGTTCTCCACAGTGTCCCTCTCACGCACCATGATCCAGTGTTTTCGTAATAACCGAAAAGGTCAAGTTCTCCAGATTCCCAATGCAGCTTTTTTGTCCCCTGCATTTTTTATGTGGCTCTTTATCTGACTCTTCCAATTTCTACCTCCTTTCTGAAGCATGGGCCGCCTTGTATGCAACTTTGCATTTTGCTGCCTTGTTTTAGCTGGGATCAGTGCCAAACTAGCTGTGCTCCATCATTGCTTGGACCTTCAGTTTAACCACTTTTAGCTATTGGAACCGTTCGGATCGTTGGGAATTTGTGGAGCTATTTAAGACCTGTTAAAAGCAAACTTTGGTGGTTCTCAGAGCTCCCGAGATAGCTCTTCAGGGTCTCCCGAGGGGAAGGGGTCTGGGTGTGTTGATTCGGAAGTGTTAAGCCCAGCAGATGCCAGGTTATGGGCATACTGCTGGTAGGCGGCATACGCGCAGTTTTTAAAAGGGCATCTTTAAATCCATTTTTTCACACCAAGACTAAGTTATAATTTACATTTGTATGCGGGAGAATTAGCAAGAGGGCTTTCACCATGTCCTACGTACAGGCTGGCAGGTGGCCCAGCGCTGCTTGTGGGCATGGGTGGGTCGGAACTTGGTGAAGCCATTTCCAGATGGAGGGTCCTTGCAGGTGAACTCTAGAGGATTGAGTTTTACCTCCAAAGCTGGCTTCATCTAGGCCCAGTAAAAGGAGAAAAGTTCAGGTACAGTGTCTGAGAGGGATCTTTTTCTAGATATAAAAGTCTAATTTACAGTGGTCCTTGGCAGCAGGTGTGTATTTTTGCATGACTTTTGCTTCATAGGAGGAGGAAGATGCTGCTCCACTTAGACTTTTACTCCACAATTTTATTACCTCATTTTCTGTTTTTTGGAAGTTCTGCTGTTTTGTTTCCCCCTTACCCACCCAGTTCCGTTTTGGCAGTAAAGGGCAGGTTTCTGATGTGACTATGTTTTTACATCTAGCTCTTCATCCTGTGAATTTTTAGCTGCTGAGAACGTGAAGCACGCACATTCCCTACCGGAGAGTAGGAGCGGGCCTCTCGTGTCCTGCTCTGTTTGATCTGCTTCAGTAGTGATCAGTGGTGGAGCCTTTTCCATGCTGAACGTTGTGTCACTCGTACTGAAGGAGAAGGCTCTGGAGCACCAGTACCTTTGCAATAACTTCATTGCAAGATCATTAAATAAATGCCGTTGTTGCCCTTAGAGTGTCGTCCAGGAGTGCTTGCCTTGCTGTTCCAGGTAGTACCTGTAAACCTTTTAGGTGATCGCATGAACTGAGTCCAGAGCCTGTGTATTTCTAGAAGGGTTTTTTATACCCGCGTTTCTTTTTTTTTCATAGGACCTTACAGTACTATTACTTTCGAGCCTTGGTTGTCAGCAAAGCCATTTTGATACAGTGCATTAGAAAGAGATGGTGATATTTAACTGCTTGAGTTGGCATCTGGGACTTGGCGATGTGGAACACTCTTTTTCTAGGAAAATGTTTTCCCTTAGATAAATAAAAATCCCATTGTTCGGCTGAGGGGTTGACCCGGCACATGAGTAAAAGGTTAAGGGGAGGAAGGGCGATTTATCCACTTAGCATGCAGGCTTCAAAAACAACCATGTTGCCAGTAAGCTCAAACTGAGTGCAGGACAGCATTTTAAATAATGCTCATAGGGGCATTTTTTTTCCATGAGCAGGAAGCGGTCTTTCTCTAATCAGGACTTTGGCATTTAAATATCTCTGTCTTGGGTAATATCCTGACATTGTCCGTGCATACGGGGCCGCCAGAGGAAGAGGCTTGTGAAAGGAAAGGTATGTGATAACCACTGCCTATGTGAGGCTGCTCCCGGGAGATCCTCTGCTCCGGGAACGTCGGACGGAGCCCGCCGAGGCAGGGAGGACACATGGATTCACATCCAGGCACAGGATTGGGTCCTGGGTAGGACAGTTCTCCTTGACCTTGAATCTGTTTTGTAATTTATTTCTGTTTATTGCAGTATTTGAGATCTGGCAGTGTGCCATCACTCATTGCTCGGGAGTTTGCTTTCTGTGTACCATTATTGGATTATTTAAGAGAGAGAAAAGAAGAAAAAAGGAAAGAAAAGCAGCACTTTCCACTTCTGAGGAGTTTGGCTATAGGAGACAGCATGGAGGACATCAGTTCTTAAGAAAGCTCCTTCCAAACTGGGAGCTCGCAGCAATGTGAAGAGGGATTAGGAACCAAAGCAGCGGGGTTGTGATTGCAGTAAGTGGTTGTTTTAAAGTTGCTTGTATTGCAGAGGAGTTAATGTAGTTCATAAAGCAGATGGCACAGGAAGGATTGCTCTGAGAAAGTTTAGACTTAGTAAAATCTCAAAAATCAGATTAAAAAGACAGATGGGATTCTGGTTTGGAATGCTAACATGTAGCTTTTGTTGGCATTTTTTTGGGCAGGGGGGTGGTTGTCTTTTTTATGTCGCTTTCCCAAATGATGGCTTTGGAGATGCTGGTTTTCTTTATATAGCTGACAATAAATGTGGTACTAAAAACTAGAAGTTACACATAAGCAGCTGTTTTCACTGTAACTAGTACTTTTGGATTGCTCTCACTTGAAATACAAATAGGATGTGATTGCTGAAGGAAGATAAAGGAATAAAATTACAAGATTTAGTCTCAAGTTACCTGCTTGGGCACCCGCTTACAGCAACCTTGTGCCCTTCACGGGAGTTAACCTTGTATTTACCTGCTTCTTCCTTTGGGAGAGTTGAAGCTGGAGTTGCAGGGGTTGCCACGTGGCTTGAAACAGCCCCCTACGAGTCCGCACCGTCCTAGCCAGGAGCCGCACGTGGCAGATGGAGCTGGGGGAGCCGGCAGCGAGGAGCAGCCTCCTGTGGACGTGGCCGGCCCCTTTCCAGGTATGGGATGAGGCACAGCTGCCCAGAGCAAGTCCCTCGGCCTGGGGCCTGCTGGCTCGGGCATCTCTGCTCCGGTGTATGGTGAAGAAATCCATACACTGTGTGCCTTAATTCCCCCCTTCCCCCTCCAGAGCTTCCCTTTCCGAAGAGCAAAGCATCTGTTATATACTGACTTTTGGAAATAACAAAGCACAACACCATTAATTCTGTGGAAGAATGAAGCAAAGCCCATGTGGGTTTAATTCTGACAGGGCTCCTTGCTGTGGTATTCTGGTAAAACTCAAGAATAACTCGAGGGCTGTGTCCTTGCTGCTTGGTTGGGAATACCAAGGGAAAAGTTTGCCAGCTAGGCTAAAGACTTTACTCCCTAACTCATAGCGAGTCTTCTAAGCAGCTTTTTCTAATTAATACTTCTTATAGCATATCTAATATTTCAGTCTAAAACCTGCTTACTAATTTGAGGTCAGACTGACTGATCCTGTTCTTACACTACTGCCTTTTCACCCTCTTTTTCCTCCGGTTCTTTAAGTAAAGGGGACCAGATGTCTCATCCCATTTTTGAAACTTACTGTAGAGTTTATATTTTCATGGTAGCTTCTCTTTTTATAGTGTTCTTACCGCTCTCACTGTTTAGAGGTAGTTTGCTTCAACATTTTTTTTCCAGTTCAAAGCTTGTAATCATTTTGTTGCTGTGGGAATTACTGTGATAGTGTGGGCTCTGTGTTCGTGGCTTCACGGCTGCATTAGATGAGAAGAGAAAAAAAGAGGCTGTGTGTGGGAGAAAACCCTGGGTTAAGCAAGTTGTGTACAGTTCACGCATATGTCAGTGAAGATAACACATGGGAAGGAATTAGGGCTGTTCAAGCTGTTAGGATTTTCTGTATTTTATGGGAAGGAGAGTCTAAAAAAAGAGGAGAAAAGATCCTGGATTGTGGTCTGGAACACCCTGCTTGGAGCAGCAGTTGCCAGTGGTCCATCCTGAGTGATGGCTTTCAGTGTGCCTGTTGGGAAACACTGTTCTGGAGACCTTGTCCTTCCGTACCAGGCGTAGAGAAGGATGCCCAGAGAAGCCTTTGCATAAGGAGCTGTAGGGAGAAGGAAGTACAAATCGAGGCTCCTGCTGGCAACCTCTCTTTCCTGAGAGAGCAAAGCCTTTAAATGAACAGATTAATTTGTGTGTTTTCTTTAAATCAGTCTTCAATATTTGACCAGTTTTAGTAGTAGTCTCCATTCTAGAATTTCAAATGTTCATAAATTAAATAAATCGGCTATTTATGCTTAATTTCTAATCCTTTTATTAGCATGCAGTATTGTAGAGCTCTTTGGGACCTTTTTATGTGTGGCTGTTTCAGAACAGGCTCTATGTTCATGTTGCTGAAATTGTCACCACAATGTTGAGCTTGTCCTCTTTCCTTGCTTTCCTTTAAATGCATGACCCAATACTGTTACAGAAAAATACAAGGTTTGTATTGCTTTTTGGCATAATGTTTTAAGTACGTGTACAGTTTGTAATGTACATGTACAGTTTGTAAATACATGAATACATATGTATTTGTAAATACAGTTTTACGTACATGTACAGTTTGTAAATACATGAACACATATGCATTCTCCCTGTGATTAATGTGGCTGCCTTCCATGTGCACAAGATTTCAGAAGCTGCTTGGTGAGCAAGGCAAGGTTTCTAAGGAGGCCACCTATATATATATATTTATGTATATATATGTGTATATATATATATATGCACCAGAGTTTGTGTATGTGCACTGTTTTCCAGTTACGTTATTTTCTTTGACTACTAAATGTAAAACTGGGAAAAAGTCCAGGATCTTTAATGGCTAAAATGTATTTAATGCTAATCCTTTCTAAATTGGCATTCTTCATTGCCAAGTTCTAAAGTGAGGGTTAGGATGATGATGTATTTCTCTAATGGAATTTTTGTTCAGGACTGTCTGATATTTATATTTTCTGTACTCTAGAATTCAGACAGAAGGTCTGTGCTTATGAAATGGCCCTATATTTTCCTGGCCGAAATGCCCATAAGAAAGAGGTGTTGATGTTTTGAAGGGTTGCATTAGAGCATGACATCCTTTTAAAATTTTATATTGTTATGCTGTGTTTCTCGGAATACTCAGTTGTGTCATTTCACTATTAAAATTCACAACAGATTTTATTAAGTTCTTGTTCTGCCTGATATTATGTCTTGCTGGTTCAATGCCTGCATATACCAAAATCACTTCTTACAAGCCTAATACTCAGTAGTAATAGAACAGGACTAATCCCCAATACTGTTCTGCAGAAACTGATATATCCTTTTTTACATATATATGAAAGTGAGGTCACACTCTCTTTTCTGGGCAGCCCATGAAGCAATGAGATGCCTGTGGTTTGTGAGCACCTTGCTTGGTAGTGGCTGCATTCCTTTGCTGCCAAGTGGAGGATTTGCAGGATACCCTCTCGCTACCTTGGGGAAGGGAGTGAGCTGCGATGGGGGCTCCTCACAAGAGCAGCGACGTGTCCTGAGGTGAGGGCAATAACAGCAGGAAAGGGTGAGTGTGAGAGGAGGCTGTTAGGTGTCCACTTAGGAGGAGGAGACTGGAAAAAATACTGCGGAGTGGTTTGGTCAAGTCCCCGGAGTGTTGCTGGCTCTTTGAGCAGAGCTTTGCGTGGAGGTGGCGGCTGTTGGAGAGAGACGCGGCTGCGGCGTTGGAGCGAGAGGCAGGAGGACAGTGGTGGGGGCAGAGCATCCATCGTAGACACAGAGATTGCCCTTTAGAGGGATGGTCTCGCACATGCCTCTGTGCTGCATGGAGCAAAAGTTTCTGACACAATACATGGTTTAGTCATAGGAGTGCCTTGAAGTGAGCAAATATTGCACATCTGGAAGCATTTTAAGCAAGTAATTAGTTTCTGGAAAAAGGGCAGATTTCTTGAGTAAAACGTAGTCCATTGTGTCCTTCTCGCTGCCTGTTTGCAATATGCATCGTTCTCCTGATGGTAACTGTTGTGTTCCTGGTGCGCTCACCAGGAGCTGCAAATGGGGATGGGTGATCTATTTGACTCTCATTTCAATAGGAATAGCCAGATATTCCTAGGTGTCATCATAATTCTGCTCCTTTTGGAAAAGAGATCAGTGGAAACTGAGGGGAGTGTTTTTCTCTCTCAGTTTATCTGCACTGCTGGCACTCTGTGTTCTGCTTGGTCCTCCCGTGCATGGAGGACAAGGATCCTGGATTCCTTGGATCCTGTTCCTGGGATTTCACTGCCTAGGAGAGCCCTCACAGGAGCTGGCCTGGCCCAGCTGGGGAAATCCGCGGCTGCAAATCTCTTGCTTCAGTAGAGCCCACTCCTCCACCCACTTCCTTCCCAGGACCCGCTCACCCCTCACCAGAGCAGAGCTCCTCTGGTCCTTTGTGCCCAGAGAAACGTTTCTGGGAAGGGGCAGAGAGCACAGCCCGCTCCCAGCCTGTTTCCCTCTCCTCTCTGCTGCTGGCAGCGACGTGGCAGGAGATGTCACCAAGCCCTGTGCCCTTGGCTCGGGGGTGCTGGCCCGTGCTCGGTGCTGCCTGGGGCCAGGTGTCTCTGACAGTACTCACCGTGGTTGTTTGTCATTGCAGAAGTGACGCTGAAGGTCCACGTGAGCGATGCCAGCACACATCAGCCGCTAACTGAAGCCTTCATTGAGATTTTTACCAACCAGATTTCCATTGCATCTGGCACCTCGGGAGCAGATGGCACTGCCTTCCTCAAGTTTCAGTATAAGCTGGGCAATCAGCTGATAGTGACTGCTAGTAAACATGCCTATGTGCCAAATTCTGCACCATGGAAACCTGTAAGATTGCCTGGTAAGAGATCTTTATTTTTGTTCTGAGGTAAGATTTTGCGTCTAAAGGAAGCTACACAATTTTGTATGATGTATTTTGCTGCTTGGTTGCAATCCTGGGTGGGAGGAAGAGCATCTGTGCGATACAGAAATGTGGGGTTTCTTCCTCAGTTCAGCTGTGGCATCGGGGCCGTGCAGAGCTTTGTGCTGCTCCTGGCTGTCCTTGACGCAGACCTATGTCACTTACCAGAGAGTTGTTGGTGTTCCTACAGCTCCACAGGACACACAGATCAGCTCCAGATCTTGTTCTTTTGGGGGACTCTCTTTTCCAGTGTGTTCTCTCAGCAGCTCTGATGTTCTAACTGTGTTCTCTCCCAAGTGCCCACTGTGTTGTGTGCTGGAGCAAGCACCAAAAAGTCCTGGGTTTTCAGTTCTTGGCCATGTCCCACAGGCTGCCTGGAATCTGCAGTTATGTAAAAATTTTCTCTAACATAATTAGCATGGTTTGTTTATTTAACAGCAGATTAGATATAACAAATATAAAATTATTTCCATGCATGCTCTTACCTGAATGCCTCAAAATCTGGTGAAAAACAGGAGTTATTACATTATCCCTGTTATGGAGGAGGGCAAACTGAAGCATGAAGACATGAGGGTAGCTCTAAATGATGAGAGTGGCTCTTTGAGACCTTAAAACAAGATGATGCTCGTATTCAGCCGCTGCATCTGCATCTCAGCCACAGTTAGAGTCATCCTGACCCAGCAGTTCAGGAATGGTCCCAGGCCTGTGTTATCCCCACATCTCACGTAGGCATCGCCTCACATTTGCTAATTAGCACAGGCTGGGCCATGCCAGGTTTTAAACATACTAATAAATCCAAACCTAGAATTGTGCCTGAGGTATTTCAGTGTGCTGTTTGCTTACCTGCAATCATTTGCTTCAGATAGGAACACTTTTTCCTTATTTTCCCTGCCATAATATTCAGCTACCTAACAGGGCTATAGATGGAGACAGGATTAAGGAGCGTAGAGACAAGGAACGAGTAGCAATTGAAACACGTCAGAGCGAGGAGAATCCCAGACGAAAACAGGGATACGGCTATCAAAAATGAGCTGAACAAGCCCATGCCTTGAGCTGAGGTTGAGCCAGGTGACCTACAGAGATCCTTTCCAACCCTATTTTGCAATTCTATTTAGAAATTTCCTTGACGATTTTCCTCTTTAAATAAGCTGTAGGGCTGGCGTCGTTAGCATGCTTAATGCCCTTCCTTAAGACCTACAATTAAAGCATGCAATAGCCTTTCCTTGCCTTGTGTCTCATATCTTCCCTAGTTATGCCCGAGGTGTTTTGAATGCAGCATACTCTCGTGTGGACCTGGGGTTTGTTTGGTTGGCTGTTATTGTTTGGCTTTTTCTTAAATATTGATCTTCAGGGAAGGGAATCAAACATGACATTACTGTTTTGGTTAGTCACTGAAGTTTAAAGAGATTCAGTTGTGTACATAGTTTCCATAAAACCTTTTTTTTTTGTACAGCTGAAACATGAGCTTAATTCAGAAAATAAAGATTCCTTTCACCATCAGTCTTCCTCCATTGAAATTGCCAGACAATTTGCCATTGATTTCACTGAGAGTAAAATCCTGTCTTTTGATTTCTGTACCTTGAACCCAGTGCTTCTTGATTAAAGAAACAACAAGTTACAACTTGATACACCCCATGTAGATTTAAGAGGTCTGTTCTTTGAATTATTCCCTACTCTTTTCCACTTAAGCAGGAGGATTATTATTTACTTAATGATGAACGACAGGAGGAAAAGATAGAGATCTTTTTCTCACATTGAACTATTTTTCAGAGAACCCTGATTTCAGTTATTAACAGGTCATTAATTTAACATCACTTGAGTTGTTGAAATCTTGGCCTGGAAGACATGCATGTTATCATTTCTGGCTATTCATAGAAGGTTTCTTTTTTTTTTTTTTTGCCAATAATTCAGAAGAAAACAAAATTAGAGATGTTAGTCCATAGCTAGGAGGACACTTGGAAAACTGCTGAGCAATGAAGAGAGGTCATGAGGCAGCAAAGCTGAGGCTTTCACACTGGTGAAATACAGTTCTGGGAGCAGAGACCGCTCCTCTGGCAGAGGAGAGCTCACGTGGGAAGCAGCGGCTCTGCACAAGACACCTGACTCATGGTGGGTGAAACCAGCCCTGCAGCAAGGAGGGTCCATCTCCTCCTTAGCTGTAAAATAAGAAAAAAAAGAGAATTCTGGAAAATAACCTCCTTAGCTGTAAAATAAGAAAAAAATAAAGGAATTCTGAAAAAGAGTATAGTATCACAGCACCTGGCATTGGTGCAGCCACTTTTGGAAAGCTGTGTCATATTCTGGATTCTCAGTTTGTGAAGAATGTTTAGAACTGCAGGGGCTTCAGAGGGTATTTCAAAAGTGATTAGAAGTTCGGAGAATGCGACTTGCCGAGAAGCATTGGAAGTGCCTCGTTTATTTGTTCATCAGATGGAAAGTCATGAGTCCATTGGTACCTGCAAAGCAAGCAGGAAATGGGTAGGAGAAAGTGGCTCTGTCTAGTAGACTTAAGTGGATAAAAAAGATCAAATGTCAATAAATTTTGATGAGTAAATTTTGATGAGTAAAAAGGCACACAATTTAACTGCCTTTGTAATTAGAACACTCAAATGTTGTGTTTTATTCTTTACCACTGGACACCTTTAAAAGCAGATTCTCTTTTCCAGCATGATTTCCAGTTTAAGCACAATTACTGGATCTGAAGTAGTAATTAATTCAGGGAAGGCTTTGTTCTGCCTAAGATCATCACAGTGATCCCTCTGGCCTTAAAAACTGACTTTCTGTCTTTGTCATGCTGAGAAGTGATTGTACAGAGCAGCCCAGGGGAAGTTTAGAGGTTATCTGTGCATTACAGCGGGCACATGCAGAAGTTGGTATGGTTTATTGTGCTGGGCCCCCCAGGGTATCTACATTGTACTAGCTTTCTTTATACAAATTAAATTATTGGAGTAAAAAGAAAAAAAAAAGTAATTAGATATAATTTTAAAAATCAAATAAATGTTATTGCACTGTTCTTATAGTTTTAGAACAGTATTTTAAATTGTGATGCTTATCAGTATATTGCTTCTATCTTCTGTTTTTCTCCTATATTTCTTTAAAAAGTGAATAAATTTCTTATAGCAACAATAATGAACAGTCTCCCAATTTGTTTTTTTATCATCTTTATGGTCTCTTGGATCAAATAATGTATTTTAATTCAAATATATTTTATTCAAATAATATATTGGAATTGCTCTCCTCCTATCCCTGAAAGCTGCAGGGAGGGGAGGCAGAGCTCAGAGTTTCCATGTGTGCACAGCCAGTTGTGCTCAGCGGCTACTTCTGTGGCTGTTTCTGGTCTCCAGGGTATAGAATGCTTGGCATGGAAATGCGTTGTGTTTTTCCCTCTCCAAACATGTGTGTGCAAACACCCTCCCTCAGCCGCCCTCTGCGGAGGGTCTGTGTCCCCGGGCAGGGGAGGACCTCGGGCACACATTCCTTGCAGCAAATACTCATGGTCTCTCCCCTTCTACCAGTGGTGGGATGGATGGTCTAGTTCTGCTGTGTTCTGTAGTGTAGGTGGGAAAGACATGCTGTATTTTAAAGCGAATTATTCAGACTTATTCATCATACTTTGCATTTTTATATGACTTTTTATGTAAGCATGTGAGTTTTTAAAAGTTTTTAACTTTTCTTAAAATATTCCTGAGGTAAGAATTTCTTTTTTCACCTGCCCCCCCATCCCCCCCCCCACCCCCCCCAAAAAAAAAATCAAACTGGGTTAATGTCTCACTCATCTTTATGTGATGGCAGGGCATTTGTGGAGTATGGAGTCATAACCCAAAACTCTTACTTTCCACTGCACTCTTCTGTACTTTAAATTCAAATGCATGACTTTGTCAGGTCTCGAAGTGTGAAATATATTGTTTAGATCAATAGAAATTATTCTGGTAATTAAATCATTTAGTTTAGAAAATGCACTTTGTTCTTTCTCTCCTGTGTACAATACAATCTTAATAGTTTGAGTTGTCTGTTGCTGAAAGAATAATGGAAGAAAATAAGTTCTGTTGTTGCTGGGTTATTTTGTAAGAATTCAAATATATCGCACTTAAACCACTTTTCTTCTACAGTGTTCTCCTCACTGAGTCTTGGCCTTCTTCCTGAACGCTCAGCTACTTTAATGGTCTATGATGATGTAGTCCAGATAGTCTCAGGATTTCAAGGTATGCTGATTTATGGAAGTTGGAATTGAAATTTAAATGACACTTGTAATATCTGACAATCTAGTCCTTTCTGCACTCTACCAGTGGAGGAGGCCAGGTTTTCCAGTGAAATTCCTGTGAGTTCACTGAGGGATATAAGGCCAGACCTCTCCTCTGTGGGATGGTTTTACTGAATTGATTAACAGCAAAATGCTTCCATAACATCTCTGACTAGGGAAGTTTAGTTACTTAGTAATAAACCAGTTTGAACTTCAGTGTGGCAGTTGAGAGCAAGAGATTAATTTTCTTTCATTATCTGTTAGATGCTTCTTCATCTAGCCTGATCTAACCATCCTTCCAGGAAACATTTGCTGGTGTCGTTATACTGTAAGACTTCAATTTTAAGTTGTTTCTTGCTTCCTACTGTGAATGTCTTAAAAAAGCATAGGTGCTTTGAAAATTTCTCATATATGCATTACTGGATAACATATATAAATGGGCTTTATGTAATTGCTTCCTGTGGAGCTCTTAGCAAATCACCTGCAAACCCACATATTATGAAACCCACTGTATGAAAAGAATAAAATTTAGAGCCCCTTTTCATAAAGCCAAACACAGAAGCAAAAGCAATGTCAGTATCAGACAGATGAACTGTGAGTGTTTCCTCAATCGCACAGCAGAAGATTAGAAGTTCATCTAGGCATCTGAGTGCTACTTAGCCCAATTGATGCGATACTCTGAGGTAAGTCTCTTAACAAAAGAACAGAAGGTCTTAAAGATACCTTGATAACCCCAAACAAGGGGCCTTCCTTCCCCCTAGTGTTCTTATTACTCATAAACTGTGTATTAACTTTTCACATGCAGTATCAATACCTTCATTCTGAACTCTAGCAGAGATCTAATAAACAGGAGACTACTACTTTCAATAATGCTTTAAGGTAACCTTGTTTTATCTGAGGGAATATAATAGCATCCTTTATTATGGTTAGAATCCATCTAGACACAATAGGCTTTTCATTAATGAGAGCACTAGATATGACTAAAGCTGAAAGCACTAAACAAATTATGTAGCTGCTGGAACACTCAGAAGGAGCTGCATAACAACACAGCTGGGGTATGTATATTGTGCAGTATGAGAGCTGACATTATCTAATGGGACAAATTAGATGGACTATGGAGTATGTTAATCCACAAGGGGTTCCAGTCAGCAAAACATGAAACATTGTTTACCAACAGTGTTCTGCTATCATGCTGTATTAAATAATCTTACTCAAATGTGCTCATATTATGCCTGAAAAAGAAAAATCTTTTCATTTTTAAAACTTCCTTTCTTCAAAATTCAGGGCACATTAAAGGGCTAGAGGAATATTTAACAGTTACATGCACTCATAGATATTTTAGTGTCTTGCTCCCTTCAGTGAGTTTCTTCAGGATGTTCCCAATATTTTTAAATTATAATAATGTAATGGATTTTGCCTCCATGCTGGTATACCAGAGAAGGAAAAAAAAATGAAGAAAATGTTACCCAAAGTATTCTAAGAGTTGGAATTTATTTGAACTCTCATTCTTGTATAGTAAAAACTAGTTTATGGGACCAACCCACGCTCCTTTTCCTGGGAATTCTGTTATGATGAAACCTAAATGAGAGACAGCCTGGACGTTGTGCTGTGTTTGAATGGGACCTCACTAATTCCTGATCCAGAATCCTTGTGACCTAGTTGTTCTCTCCACTGCTCTTCTAATTTATTTCCCAGTAACTTTGAGCTGCTTCAGAAGAGATGGTCAGGAGTTACCACAGAGCAAAAATGAGAGCAGAACAGAACTCATTATGCTAGGAACAGACTGGGAACACTGGTGTTTAAAGCACCAGTCAAAGAAAAAGAAAGACCTGTCTTGTACAGTAAGTTACCAGTTCCCTTTGAATAACTAATCAGGCAAGCAACTTATTATACAATTGAGAGATTTGCCTGAATTGATGGAGCCAGCTTCATTTTTGTGGTGGGATTACAACGCGCTTGCTGTGTTCTGACAGTAATTGCAAGGGAAGGAGCTTGCCAGGCGCAGAGCCGTTCAGGTTATGTAACCCCAGCGCGGCGACGAGCCCAGCGCCGGCGTCCGCAGGAGGGGAGCTGCGTGATTGGGCTCTACCTGTCTTACACAGGAGCAATCAGAGCAGGGGCTGATGATAATTGGGATGTTCCTTAGCGTGGATTGAGGCTCAGACAGCAGCGTGGCTCCCCAGGGCACACCTGCAGCGTCTGCTCAGAGGCACTTTTGAGATGGTTGCATCTCCAGGTGTGCACCAGCAAGCTGGAAAAGGCAGCAGCTGATGGTTTATTGGTGGCAAGTTGCTTAAAGACGATATCATCAGTGCCCAGAAGTCCTTCTCCTCGTGCCTCCTGCCAAGTAGAGACAGGACTCGCATGGCACTTTTAAACTTGAATGTACTGGAGATCCGTTTTGCTTTTGTAAGTCAAAGTTGCTATCTTGAGTATTAAAAGCAATAATAATAGTTTCCTCCCCGTAGGTAAGTGTTGACTTGTTGAAAAATCCTGTCTTGTAAGACTCTGGTCAGCGCAAATCCTTCTATTTTACTACTTGCGATTCCCACAGCAAGGCTGCTGCCAAACACAGGCACCAAAATGCTCTGTGACCTCTGCTGTCAGAGCACCTCATGCCTTGGTGGTCTTCTAGCAAGGTGGTGAGTGTCGGTGGTCTCACAGAATCACAGAAGGGTTGAGGTTGGAAGGGACCTCTCGAGATCATCTAGGCCAACCCCCTGCTCCAGCAGGGACACCCAGAGCACGGGGCACAGAGTGGCATCCAGGCGAGTTTTGAAGATCCCCATAAAGGAGACTCCACAGCCTCTCTGAGCAGCCTGTCTCCCACCCCTCTCACTAATGGCTTTCTATCTGCTGCCCTTCGAGTCGTTGCAGGGTTTGGGGAGTTCCAGCAGAGGAGCCGAGAGCCTCAGCAAATGGCAGATTTTGGGTAACTCACTGCTGAGTTTTCTGGCCACCAGCAACGCAACAAGGAGGGGAGGAAAGGGGCATTTCCTTGCAGAGCCTGTGTTAATCTGTGTGGATATCCATAGTGGGAAGGAAGGGGCAGCATGTGGCAGGAAAGCCAGCCTTACTGGGATAAAGACAGGTTCCCTCGTACAGTCTTCACTCACTGCCCAGGTTTACAAACCCATGCTGATGAATTAAGCGTCTGCCAGGCAATGAGAGGCAAATATTTCTATTTCTGGTTTAGGGAGAGAGGTTAAGTGGCTTCCTTGGGGTCCAGGGCCACCAACAAAGAAGCTGGATTCTTTGGGTAGGATGTTTCTGTATGAAGGAGTTTGGTTATCTGGCATGCAAACTAACTAGTTACTCTGCAGACTAAGTTATTGTATGGGAGGACTTAATATATGCACAGAGTTGCTGTTTGGTTACAGCCAGTGATTGTAAACTTCCTTTTTACGCAGGGAGTTGTTTCTCAGTGGGTAGTGCCTTAAAATGAGCATTGCAACCTGTTGCAGTGCTGGGCCCCTCTCAGCTCCAAGCTTAGCCCTAAGAGCATTTGGTGTCCGTAGCGTCCCAGACATGGAGGTTTGCTTTCAGACTCCCTAAGAATTGATCATTTAGCAGCTCATAGCTCTCCCAAATACTACAAAATAATTATCTTTTCTGAAAAGAAACCCCAGAAGCTCCCAATAAATGACTCTAACAGGCTCAGCAACAGTTATTTTGTTTTTAATTCTTAATTACTTGGATCTTCAGAAATATATGTCAGTTCTTGGCAACTTGAATAATTCATCTTAATCAGAGTTCTTGACAGTGGAAAATCCTCTGATTTTGCATTGAACTGTTAGTGATAATCCTAATACTGCTTTTGTTGCTGTTTTTGTTGCTGTGGATCTGATCCATACGGATAACCCACGCAGCAGTACAGGCAGCAGCCCCTGAACGTTTGAGCAGATCTGTCCCAGAGGTACCACAAACCATTATGATGCTGCGAAGCACTAGGGAGATAAGTCTTCCCCTGAGTTCACTGCAGTCAATTTATTTAGTCTTTTATGTTGTTTTCTGTTTAAGCCTAGAAATTGGCTAAGAGATTTCTTCCCATTTCTGACATGTATTATTTAATGACTATCTTTAGCGTTAGGGATGCTGCTAGGAAAAGGTATTACTGCCTTTCCTTGCAAAGTTACTAAAGAAATGGCAGCTAAGCAATTAGTGGTCAGCCCTTTAGAAGTTCTTGTTTGCCTGCATAGCAAGTCTTTTTGGCTGATACATATATTTTTTGCGTGTGTATGGAATTTCACATTTTCCCATAATTAGAGCTCTTGCTAGAAGGTAATTCAAAAGATTCCCGTCTCCTGGTTAGTGACATTGGCAGTTGTAGCATTTAGCAGTTGTGAGTCAGGCTCTTTAATCTTTTTGTCAGCCAAGCTGCACATAACATAAAGCTCCTGCGTCAGACTAATAGAGGGAAAGAAGCAAAGTTGTTCTGAGCTGACATCTTTGAAGCACGTAGTCAAGTAGGAGCTCACAACAAAAAACTCTTGATTTTGTGCTGCGTGGGGAGCGTTCTGGGGGGATTCCAAATGAGCTCTGGAGAACACAATAGCTTTTGGTTTAAGACGTAATTTGCATGTTGCACACACAAACTTGCAGATGGAGCCTTGCTGGGTGTTGCTAAACTCTGCTAAGGGTGAGGAGCCAGTGAAAAGGACTATTGACTTTATAAACCCACAATCTGAATGGGACATGAAATGAAGCAGGACATGGAACAGTCCTAAATCATGTTGCAGCTTCAATTAATACCTAGTGATCTTGAAAAAATGCTAAAACTACACAAGACAGAGAAAAATGGAGAAATCTTGCAGGCCAAGTAATCTGGTTCTACTTAGAAGATGTGTTCGGTGTGGGAGAAAATATGGAAACTGTTTTCATCCAACCTCTGAGAAGGGAATCTCTTTATACGGTGTTTTTAGTGAGTGTTATCTCAGTGCTAGAGATAGCAATGCGGCCAGAGCTTTGTAAAAAATAAAGTGGGAAATTACACGAGTTAATTTAGACTACAGATAGTAGTCTCTTAAGGCATGGCATTTTAAAGAGTTTAAACTATATTCATATAGTTATTCCAAAGGAAGCGAAATTTTAGCAATAATGTTAAACTTTTTACATAAATTACCTCTGAATTCATTTCTGCTTTCAGTGATATTCATTAAAAGAAGATTTCAGGAATTTTGAAGTGATCTTGGGAATAGCATAGTCAGAAAACTTATGACATTAGATGCTTTAAAACTCTTACTCTGTGATGCTTGTGGAAAAATAATAGCAGATGCAAAATACATCTTAAAAAATGCATTACCTCCACTTTTGTTGTAACTTTCTGATGTCTCTGTCCATCTCAAGCTGTTTTAATTTATAATGGAAAAAAAAACTACAAATGCACTCCTAAATATTCTATCTTCCCTGGATATAAAGTCGCCTTTAATTTTTTTAGGGGCGCGGACTCAGCCACAAGTTCACTTTCAGAGAAGATCTGTGAAATTACCAGAGAACACGAGCTACAGTGATTTGACAGCCTATCTAACAGCAGCCAGTTCACCCTGGGAAGTGGACAGTTTTCCCCATTTGCAGGGATTAGATGGAAATGGAACAGGTAACGCTTTATTTTTGTTTTGGTTTTGATTTGATATTGGTCTGGGCATCCACCTCTTGACTGAACATTTTTTGTGGTATTAGCATCCTTCATCTGGTTCTTTTGCTGATAATCTTAATTATAGAAATCAATGTTTAAGTCAGTACAGGTAGCAAGGTCCTCCATCCCTTAAATGCAGCCATTGAATAGAAAAAGTTGCAGACTCCTTGGCCTTGGGAGAATAGAAAAGTTTGTTCCACCTGCAGTTTAGAGCTAAATCTCCAAATGTGTTGCCTTTTTCTTTCTCTATGTTTCATTAAAAGCAGGGATTCATGTGAAAGCAGAGTTTTAACTTCAGAAAACCATGAAATTGTTTGTTTTTTTTTTCCCTAGAAGTAAATAAAATGCCCATATATTAAGGATTTAGTACCCTGTTCTGCTGTTTAAGCAGAGTTGTTTCAATGGCTTTGTTAAATGTGTTGTACTTTTGGATCTGGCTTCAGTCAAAGATGCACAAATTCATTTAGCACCGATGAGGGGGAAATGGAAATTCGTAATAGAAACACAAGAAATATTGAACTTAGAGCTTCAATACATTTTTATGACTGCCACTGCCTGTTACTTCTCATTTAATAATTGGTGTTGTGTGGGCTAGGGAAAAAGGAAGAATTGGGCATAACCATCTTCAAGTGCTTAAAATGCTGCCGCAGAAAGGAGAATAATGTGTTTTCTGTGTTCACACTGGGGCAAGAAGGCGGCAAGGGTTTTACAGGGGAATTCAGAAGAGTGATGAGCAAAACCTTTCTGCTGCTGAGGCTGCTTTCAGCTCCAGAACCACATGCTTGGGGCTGCTGGCCTGAGCTGGACGGTGCCTGCCGGGCTGGCGTGGCAGAGCTGAGCCGGCCTGAAGGCTCCTCTGAGGCTCTCCCTGCCGCCTCGTGGGCTGCGTTGGCTTCTCGTGGGCTGATCTGGTGATGCTGTAGGGCACGTGTAAAGAGCATGAGTGAGCTGGGAAGCTTTTCCTCAGCTAAAGCTAGCAAATAAACTTGCCCTTTTCTTTCTACAAACCTGAGCATCTTCTTTTCGGTGGCAATGGGAAGTGCGTCTCCCTGCCTTACTCCTGCCCGCTTCAGCGAGCGCATCTCGTCCCATCTCTTCATCTGCCATTTCTCCATGCGCATCCTCAGCTTTTCTCTGACTGCTTGTACTCGAACACGATGGACAGTCTCTTATCTTTTATAAGGGTGACAGAGCCCTGGAACAGGCTGCCCAGAGAGGTTGTGGAGTCTCCTTCTCTGGAGATCTTCAAAACCCGCTTGGACGCAGTCCTGTGCC